AATAAAGTATCTCCAGAACCATCATTATTAGGCCAAACTTAACAAGAATTTGCACCAGCCGGTGGCTGTGGCCGTCACTAATGAAAGTCCCTCCAACCTGGAGATATGCCAACTCAGAAAAGACGGATGGTTTATCTTCAGTCTTTGGTATGAGCTCTTTCATATTTTACCTAACAGGGCAAACTGTCTTGTTGCCTTCGCATTGTCACTATTTTCTGTTCCTTTCCTGTCTTTTTGTCCAAAGCTCTTAAAAAAAAAAAAAAACAGAACCAAACCAAAACTGAACAAAACAAAAAGGAAAAAAAAAAAAATAGAGGGGATAACAGCAAAATATGGTCTCAATAATCACTTGAGAGATACAAATCAACACTTCTCTACCAGTAGATGAAATACATTTTCTGCTTTGTCTATATGGCATTGACTGAACCCTTAGCAGAGGTAATGGGATGTTCACAATGCTTATGGTTCAATTTAAAGTTGAGGAGTTTTTTGTGCAGCTAAGCCGAGGAAGGGGCAGCAAGTTGAACATGTCTTTTGAGACTTTAAATGCTGATATCTATCTATCTATCTATCTATCTATCTATCTATCTATCTATCTATCTATCATCTGTCTATCTTAGTTAGAGACAGGGTCTCACTCTGTCACCCAAGCTGGAGTGCAGTGGAATGACCACAGTTCACTGTAATCTTGAACTCCTGGGTTTAAGCGATCCTCCCACTTTGGCCTCCCAAGTAGCTGGGACTACAGGTGCCTACCACCACCCCAGTTAATTTTTTTAAACAATTTTGTGTAGAGACAAGATCTCCCTATGTTGCCCAGGCTGGTCTTGAATCCTGGCCTCATGTGATCCTCCTGCCTCAGCCTCCCAAAGTACTGAGATAGGGCCAACAAATATTAATTCTAAATTAATTATCCTTGGAAAGAATTGCTGACATGTACTGAAACTTAAAACTTATCTTCAATTTTCCCAGAAGACTCCATGTTTGCATCAACTTTAAAAAAAAAAAAAAAAAGTTTGTTTCTTTAAAATTCTTAATGGTGTCTGCCCACAGCAGACTTAAAGGAGTAGTTAGCTACTGGCAGTAGAGCCAACCTTATGAGCTCAACTGGCCATCCTAGATATACACTGTGGCAGGAAGGTCCTGGTGACAAAGAACAAATCAATAAGTAAAATTCCATCACTATTTGAGGAAAAAGCAGCTCATGAGGCAGCAGCATTTTCTTCATTCATAGAGGACAGTGACTGATATTGAGTATAATTTGTATCTTTCTTTGAAAGGTTTAATGAAAGTAGCCTAACAGCCTTGAGTTTTTATTCTCATTATCGAGACAATCATGTGAGCACCTACTAAGTGAGATGCATTCTCACTGGATTCTCACTGGATCAGAGAGAAAACTGCAATCTCATTGGATCACACATGCAATACGGTGCTTGGCTATGAGCACTGGGGGCACAGAGTGCTTATAATCAATCATTTCATACTAACTAGTGTAGTTCCTGGCATGCAGAGAACACAACAAAAGTTAATTGAAAAGAATGAATAAATAATGAAGGGAAGAATTACATGGACTCTCAGAAACTGCTAGAAATTATCGGTGTTCATTTGTAGTTTGTCTCCCTACTGGACCATAACCCCATTAAAGCAGACACTTCATCTGACTTATCCAGTGTCTAAAACAGTATCCAACTTAGTAACTTATTTGTAGAATAAATGAGTAAATATGTGCATGAAAAACATTTTTTAGTTGGAGAAGCTGAAGTCATTTATTTAACTTTGACCTGCCTTAATACAATATACTTATGTGTGGAAGTACAAATAGGATAAGTTTAAAAGATAGGATGAACTCATATCAGTACATTCAAATCTTCAATGATAAGAACACTTCTGTTTTTCTTTCCTATAGTGCCTGGCTAGATCTTGTGCTGTAACAACTGCTCAGGATGCAGTTATGAACCAAGGAAATTTAAGAAAGAAATAGTGATTTACTTTTATTTTTCCCTTCAATTGGTAAGAGGAAAGATAAAATATGCATTTTATAAAACAAATATAGAGCACAATGTGTGGAAAATTTAGAATGGGGTAAAATATTTTCAGGAAAGTCATAATTCTTAAATATACGAATTATCTTGTATTAAAAGATGAGAATATTTGTCTTTCAAATATAGTCCAAATTAGAAGCCAACAGAGAGAGAGAGAGAGAGATATTACTTCTGCTTAGCAAAGGATCAAAATAAATTAAACATATTTGCAATGTCTCTGCAACAAAATTCAAGGTGTACACATGTAAACAAGAAAGAATAAGATTAGTGGTCTACTTATTTACCAATACTTTTTCCATAGTTGGCTTTAAAATGATCTATCTAAATTTACCTGGCACAACACTTTAAATCTAATTAATCTCTGTGAAGGGGTATTTATAAGGTAAAAGGACAACAGCCTTATAATAGTATTTCATACAAAGCTTTCAATCTTCATTTTTCAACCACAAACATATGTTAATCCAGTGCTACATTAAAAATACGAAGAATTAACAACTTCTTTGTATGTTGATGAGAAAATGCTTTAAAACAGGGCTCAGGTTGCATCAACTTCCTATATCTCATTTATTTATTTATTTACTTATTTATGTGTTTGTTTGTTTGTTTGTTTATTTATTTATTTGAGACGGGGTCTCACTCTGTCGCCCAGGCTGGAGTGCAGTGGCTGGATCTTGGCTCACTGCAAGCTCCGCTTCCCGGGTTCACGCCTCAGCCTCCAGAGTAGCTGGGACTACAGACACCCGCCACCTCGCCCGGCTAGTTTTTTGTATTTTTTAGTAGAGACGGGGTTTCACCGGGTTAGCCAGGATGGTCTCGATCTCCGGACTTCGTGATCCGTCTCGGCCTCCCAAAGTGCTGGGATTACAGGCTTGAGCCACCATGCCCGGCCTATCTCATTTATTTTTAAAGATCAATTAAATATCCTCTTTGAGTATGCTTCCATAAAATAATTATCCAGATTCTACAGCACAGAGGAACAGATGAGACCCATGAATTTCAATTTCAAGTCCCCTTTCTGTACTTGTTTGCAAGTAGAGATGACCCCCGGACCACATTTTTACATTGCTTTTGTCCGCCATGGTGAATCCAATCTAACACATTCAAGTTCAAGTAAGCTGAGGACTAGGACTAAGTTTAGCCCACATCTACAATCTTTGCTTTTTTTTTTTCCCCCCAGCTGGGATCGGCTAGTTCTCAAGAAGGAAGCAGAGAAAAGTTAGGCCAAACAAAAAAATGGGGCTGAAGGCCTGACTGTCCGTAGGCTGATGGCACCCAGAGAGTGGTGCTCAGCAGCTCTGACAATGCTGCTGCTTACTTGGTGGCTTCAAAAAAAAAAAAAACAGAAAATAGACGTGGCCATGACATATTGGCCCCTATCTGAGTAATCAATGTGATCAAATATTTCATAATACTATCAGAACTACCTGGTTCCAAAACATATCTCATAGTGCATCACAGGCCACACATTCCAACTGGTTCTGAACTATTACATATTTTCCTTTTGATTAGACTTTTAAAAGGTGATTTCTTCCAACTTACCCTCTTTCCATAGGCTGAACAATTCAACTGTCCCCATATGAAAAATCTTGCTGCTTCAACATACTGAGATTTAATTTAGTGACTTGAGAACACCTGCCTAATTGATCAACTTTATTTACCCTAACTAGGGAATATTTATGATATCTCCAAGCTTCAAATTAAAACAACCTTATAATACATTCAATTTTATTCTACAGTTTATTAATAAAAATATCTAACATTAAGATTTGGAATAGACACTTTGTAGGACTTTATTAAACATCTCTTCCTTGACATTTCTCCGCATTTGGTTTTCCTTGGCCAGTTCTTTGTCCATTTTAGAACAAAACTTATGTAATCCAATATTGTTCTATTTTTTGTGTACGTCCTAAAATAAACATTTTGCAGACTCTTCAATATCTATATAAAATAGATCTGTTTAATAATAAAATGACTTGTATGTAACCTTTACAAATTACCACATTAAAAGTGGAGAAGAGAAATTAATTCATTGTAGAGTGCTTTATGGTTTCTGTGATCACTTATTATATGTATAGTCGTTTGAGGCTTAATGTCTTTTTTTTTTTTCTGATGGAGTCTCGCTTTGCCGCCCAGGTTGGAGTGCAGTGGTCGAGATCTCAGCTCACTGCAAGCTCCGCCTCCTGGGTTCACACCATTCTCCTGCCTCAGCCCCCCGAGTAGCTGCGACTACAGGTGCCCGCTACCATGCCCGGCTATTTTTTTTTGTACTTTTAGTAGAGATGGGGTTTCATCGTGTTAGCCGGGATGGTCTCAATCTCCTGACCTTGTGATCCGCCCGCCTCAGCCTCCCAAAGTGCTGGGATTACAGGTGTGAGCCACTGTGCCCGGCCTGAGGCTTAATTTCTAATGCTTAAGAGATGTTGGAAGAAATAATAATTTGTAATACACAAACACATGAATACATGTGGGATTTTAAAAAAATCATAATGAATCCATGATGTCAATGAACGCTTGGCATGAAATAATAAAGGCTTAATATTTTGCTTTCAAGTAAAAGTACTACCGAGTTCCATATATGAGACAAATATACCCAACATGAATCTTTCTAACTGTTCTTTTTAATATATGAAACATTTTATAGACAATATTTCTTTTGTTTCTTTTTCTCATAAGGCCTAGATTATGGTTAATATCTCATGACACCAAAAGTAATACTGCAACAGATATTAAAGCATTTTTTCAGCCACTTATTCTATAAAATATTAATTGCAAGCTTGTGCATGTGCTGTATATATAGGAGATTAGGTAACTGAGTTCCTGCTCAGTTCCAAATCAATAAAAGATAATATGCAGAGCATCAATCATCATTCACCCTTCCTTTAGTGGAAGATTTTTAAAATATATATTTAAGCACTCATGGAGACAACACAAGCTACAGAAGATGTGAATAATACTTACCAAGGAAGGACAAGTTTTTCTCTAGAAGTAAGTCTCTCAGCAGGACTTCATGCTCATGACCAATGGCACTGGGAAGTTTCAGTTAAGGGGGTAACACAGGCAGAATTATATCAGCAGGAAAATGCTAATACCAGGTCTATACTTTGAGACGAAATGAAGCATTGAGGTAGTTTGAGCAGCCATTTTCACCCTTAGTCCACATCTTTGAGGAATGACATCTCTACACACATTCCCTCATTTAAATAATTTGATCGAATTTTTCTACAATTTTTTAAAACTTTTTTTTTTTTTAAATAGAGAGAGGGTCTTGCTCTGTTGCTCAGGTTGGAGAGCACTGGCACAATCATAGCTCACTATAACCTTGAACTCCTGGGCTCAAGCGATCCTGCCACCTCAGCCTCCCGAGTAGCAGGGACTAGAGGGGTGTACCACCCACCATGCCTGGGTAATTTTTTTTTTTTTTTAGAGATGGAATCACACTATGTTGCTTAGGCTGGTCTCAAACTCCTAGGCTCAAGTGATTCTCCCACCTCGGCCTCCCAAAGTGCTGGGATTACAGGCATGAGCCACTGTGTCCAGCTTTTTCTATAATTTTTCTACATATTTTGGCAAACAAAGATCTGTAAATGGATGTGTACTTTGTATTTTGAAAAGAAGGACAGACATTTTAAATGTACTTTAATCTGTGTTAAAAATCTTTCAATTCAGCTGGGCAAGGTGGCTTGCGCCTATAACCCCAGCCACCCTGGAGGCTGAGGTGGAAGGATCACTTGAGGCCAGTTGGGTAAGGCTCTTAAAAAAAAAATTCTAAAAAAAATTTTTAAATTAAAATCCCTCAACTCAATTTAGCATACATTTATTAAGCACTTAATAGGTACCATAAAGAATACTAGGCAGCCTTTGCCCTAGAAGAATTCCTAGTCTTAGAAAGTTCTGGAAATCTTCTGTGAATTCACATTTGTCATCAGGCCAACATTTAGAAACTTCTTTGTTTCACTTCCAGTCGACTGTTGCGACTTGCAAGCCAAACAAGTGATTTGTTAAGAATATATGTAATCTGCAGGAAAGACATCTTAGTAAAGAGTTGTGGATTAGGGTGTGGGTACAGAGGCTATTTCAAGAGTCTTTTTCTTATGTGTGTATGTATATGCATGTATATGCATCTAAATAGATACACATATGAATGTATATTTTTTCAGTGCTTACTATGTGGTAGACACTGTGTTAAGTGCTTTTAGTATGTTATTTTATCCTCATAATTATAATAATTATTTTATAGATGAGGAAACCAAGGGTCAGAAGGTACGTGCACAGGGCATACAGTTAATGAGTGGCAAAGAAGATAACAACAAGATCTCTGCCAAGTCTATGTTTATGACCTCCATATAGCTTCTCAAAAGTATTAAAATTAGGTAATAATAATTGACAATAGCTAATATTTCTTAAATATCATACATCAAGTCTTTGTGCTAAATACTTTGGGATACCATCTTACAATAGCCACACAAATAGATACTAATATTAGTCCCTCTTTTTTCTTTTTTTTTTTTTTTGAGATGGACTCTTGGTCTTGCCCAGGCTGGAGGGCAGTGGCATATCTCGACTTACTGCAACCTCTGCCTCCTGGGTTCACGCAGTTCTTCGGCCTCAGCCTCCTGAGTAGCTGGAATTACAGGTGCCTGCCACCATACCTGGCTAATTTTTGTGTTTTCAGTAGAGAAGGAGTTTCACCATGTAGGCCAGGATGGTCTCAAACTCCTAACTTCAAGTGATCTGCCCATCTCAGCCTTCCAAAGTGCTGAGATCACAGGTGTGAGTCACCGCACCCAGCCTATTAGTCACATTTTTACAATTAAGGAAAGTAAGGTTCAGGGAGGCTGGGGAATTTGCTGAAGGTCCCATGGCTGGTAAATTATGAAATCAGGAGTAGAATATGGAAGTGCTGTGTATTTTCCAAACAGATGAGATTGCCCAAAGTCTGAAAAGGAGTGTAATCCTAGTCTAGTATTTCAATTGACTCAAAAGCATTTGCATTTGGTAATAATTATGTGAATCATTACCTTCATTGTCCTTTTCACTGATATCATCAACCTAGTCACATCACTCCTTGGCTTACCAGAGAAGCTGATTCTGATCGAGTTTAACTTAAATAAAACTTCTATGTTGTTTGTAAAAAAAAAAAAAAAAAAAAAAAAAAAAACCCTAGAGAATTATCTTGCATTTTACCAAAATATACAGGTGAATACTATTTAAATCTTAGAATCCAAGAGATGTGGCCATTTATGTTCCAGCAAAACATGCCCTAAATCATCATTATTGCCTTTTCCTCCAGTTGTCCCCTGCCCTCCAAGGCACATGGCTGTGCTTTTGCAATTTCTAAAGAGAAACAAAATAAAGAAACACATTTTTAAACCACAAAATTTCACAAATTTTCAGAGTCCATTGAAGACATTTGATGAATAACTCTCAATGGTCTCTCATTACTAGGGACATCCCACATTTTAGAACTAAATTATTTACTTCTATTCCACACAAATGTGCTCTCATTTTTATTGTTGTAAATTATTTACATCTAAAATGTTGAATCATGAAACTGAGGTTTCTGATGGTACAGAAATGAAACCCACAGCATTTGAAGCTTCCTGCATCATTATCTTTCCTTGCTTCACAGTTTACGCTTTTGTCTAATAGCTGTGTCCTGGAGTCACACTTTGGAAAGTTGAGGTGGCTGATTTCTCACATTTTTTCCTTGGTGAGTATAAGCTGTGGTGGGAAAGGTGTAGGTGGGCATGGCTGCATAGGAAAAAATACAGTAGATACCAAAAAAAAAAAAGAGAGAGAAAGCACAATGATGATGTATATACTCTTTGCTAACTGTGCTTTCTGTGATGTCTTACTAGTAAATGACCAATTTATTTTATTCTACTTACACAAATATAACATTTTCATAATGTACTAAGAAGGTTCAGCACCTATCTTATTTACCGAATGTGTGCTTTCTTTCTCACAACATGATGTAATTTACTGAGAGTAAGCAATGTAAATATTACCAAATTATCAGAAAAATAAACAGCACATTTACTCACATGGAAAAACAATAATTTTTATTCGGTGTGAAATAAAATAATTATTGCTGATCAGTCTAGGAAACATCTATGCAAGTGTATTTATACATTATATGAAACTGCTACTACTTCAATGCAAAGACAGAATCAGTTTCTCTGTAAACTTTCCAGCCTGTTTTATTTTGCATGATAAAAGCAATCACCAATTTGAAATTTTGGAAAGATATGTTTCTTAATTATGCTTTGCTTGATATAAACATATATAAAATGCAAAGTCTAGAAAATAAAACTTATAAAATCTGTAGTTTTCTGGCAACAGACATAATGAAACTGCAAAAATTATAACCTAGTCAGTGAATGTAATTTATAGACATATGTCACTATCTTCATCAATTGAAATCATGTACTACATTAAATTCTACTGGCAGTAACACAGCCAAAAAAGGAAAGTGAATGATGGCAAAAATGTAAGGAAAATACTCCAAACAGAATTTATAATGCTCTATAAGCAAAAACACTTAGACTTTGTCTATAATAATACCTATTATTGATGTATGGCAGTGACCATGGGCAAAACTTGTAAATAACCTCACAAGCCATTTTCTTCGCCAGCAATACAGCAATCTAGTTTCCCGTAAGCATCTCAACTATTACTGAAAAATAGCCTCCTGGCATTTACAAAGCAGTTGACTTCATACTTTAGTCCATGCATACATAATTAGATAGTTATATTTAAAATCAATATGCAATCCTTCAAAAGACATTATGCTTTTAAAACCTTAACTTTAAATTGATTTTTAACTATTTTATGTGCTTTAAAATTAACATGTAATTCAACCCCAGATACTCTGAGATGGTGTTAGTTGTTATATGAATGTGCTAAACTTTATCAGTGTAGCAACATGAGATTGGCACTCCTACAATTTCTAACACTATCATTAATTTTATACTGAATATAGAAGTACAGTTTCACCTTGGTTTAATAAAAAGGTGAGCTTGGGATAATGCTGTGTTTTTACTAACTTAAGCTAGACCAGAGAAACAGACTTGGAAGATAAATACATAAAGGGCTTCAATACTGAATATTCTTGTAAGAGGGCTCTGTTAAAAGGCTATTTAGCAAAGATTACTTATAAAGGCATGATTTTCTTGTTAAAAATGTTACTGATTCTAAGCCTTTGTGAAAGAAGGTGGGATATAAACACATACATGTACACAATTTGACTAGCAGGAGTTTCCAACAAAAAGCCTCCTGACTAGTAATTACTGAGTCACAATTCATCACAGTGCCATCCATGCTAACAAAATCCATTCCCGGAGGGACATGTTTACATTATTAAGAGGGGTGAAATTCATGGACTCAGATAGAAATTATTCTCATAAAAATTACTTATTATTTACCATTTAAGTAGTAAATTATTATAAAAGTAAATCTGATAAAGGATTATCAAAAACCTTACTGTTGTCACAGTACTACTAAATTTATTGATTAATAATGTCCTACTATATGTAGTTACTGTCTGCCCAATCTTGTTTTAAAAAGTGAACATTAACTCTTTAGTAATCTCAATGTCTTTAATGAAAAGTGACTAGACTTCTGTTTTCACAACCTTAAATTTATTCCAGGAGGAAAAATTAACTTGATTTCTCTAAAAATGTTTATTAGGAATCCAAATGCCGGCTCAGATTGTAATCAGCATTTAAGCAATAAGAGTCTGTTGCCTTTAAAATGTGATGTCTCTGGAAGCATTTTAATCACAGCCTCCTTTAACTCCAGGCTCTGAATTAATTCTAGTAAATTCAACAAAATTTGGCTCATTTTAAATGGAAATTTGTTATATTTTTAAAAAAATATTTCCTGGGATGGGTAGATACATTCCAAGACATTATGTTACCTGCCTAATGACTCTGTACCTTTAAACTCATTGAAAACCAAGCAGTTTGAAATAAGCATGTGAATGTGTAACTGCTGAACTGACATCTTCCTGTGGTCTATCTGATATTTCTTAAGCTGTAGAAAAGAATGGTCTGTAGTGACCCTCCAGTTGATTGAATGTAAAATAGAAGAGTATGAAACGTGTTTTGTGAAGCAGAACTTTATGTCAGGTTAAAGCTAGACACATCTCCACTGAGTCTAAGCTCGTCAATTGCGCACCTAAAATTTTATGGGAAAGGATACTGCTTGATGCAGTCCACCAGTGGTCCATAACAGCAGTCGTTCACAATGCACTGCAGACAAATAAGAAAAGGGGTCTGGGGTGGGGCAACTACAAAAACTATCACAGTAAACAGTATCCTAAAAGCAGTAATTACTTTTCTCCCCCCACCACCCCCCAAAAAGGAAAGCTATCAAAAGGCGGTTCAGATTTAATCACAGAAAACAAAAATTGCATGCTTTCTATTCACTATAAAAGCAAGCTATTAAAAAGTGAAATGCTCTTCTTGCAAATACTGCATTGCCATTTATGGTGCACCCTGACCTCAGTGATAGTTTATGATGACAGTAATTAAATGAGGTTTAAAATCCTTTACTCGGCTAGGCAGATAACAGCATTGCCACTGAAAATAGACAGCTGTGATTAATACCTGATAGACCTGATTTGCTAGAACTCCATCTGGAATCTGAGAAGGGTCCCGTAGCATACTATTTATAACAGACTTGGAGGCTGTAGAAGAAAAGAGATGAACTGTTAGCAGATAGTCAACATAGTTTTAATGCAACATGAGAAGTGACATATACCTACATATACACACACCATGAAAACAAAAATATGACTGGCACTAATCATTTTTTCCTTTTTCTATAATCTAACAGAAGCTTTTAATTAGACCATTTTGCCAAGTTTATAAGCCACATTGCCAGATTTGATGATGACCTAATTTTTCCAAGGTAAATTAACAAGTACAGACCTAAAGCATATGTCTCTTTTGTAGATAAATAAGCTTCGGAAAAGCCCATTTGGGGTAAAAAAAAAAAAAAAAAAATCAGAAAAGAAAATATTTACCTTTTGCAGGTAGGTATTTCATAACCAAGCCTACGTATATGAAGAGTTTAATGAAGACAGGTCAGATTTGAAGTCTTTGAATCTGACCTGTCTTCACTAAACTCTTCATATACGTATGCTTCGATTATATCAATTAAAATGACTTTCAGTCATGAAAGAATCTTCTAATTCTAAACCTTTCCAAAGTAATTCTCATCAACTGCCATAAAATCCTATCTACATTCCACAAGTGAGGAAAGTAGGTAAAACTGACTGAATTGAGAGAATCTTAAATAAGGAAAATCTATACAGAGACACACACACACACACACACGTTTTCCACCCAAAATATGCCTCAACTTGCAAATAAAGTTGAACCCCAAGAGAACTGCTATAGAAGAAGAGGGACCACTAAGGCAGGCATCTGATGAAGGTGCTATAGCAAGTGACATCCTTTGAAAAGCAAGGTAGAAGATTCTGACCTCATTGCTCACTAGGCATGGGGCAGCCACAGTAGCCAGAATTCCTTTTAATGCATGGGAGAAAGGCAGGCCTCTAGGCTGAAGCTAAGTCAGGTGTTGCCTAGGAATAGATTATTTCAAGGCCTCCAGTGGAGTTATTCGCCACAATTTAGCAAAATGGCTTACAGTCTGATCCACACAAGCACAAATTAAAATGCATACTGAATAATTATCTAATTAATAAAATAAATATAGACCACAGATCTACATCATTCAAGTTCTGACATAATTTGGGGTCTAACTTGCTTTCTTTTAAGATTATGTTCTTTATCAAGCTCTATACTATAAGAACACTGATACATAAAACAAATGTTAGTGACTGGGCATGGTGGCTCACGTCTGTAATCCCAGCACTTTAGGAGGGCGGATCACGAGGTCAGGAGATCGAGACCAACCTGGCTAACATGGTGAAACCCCGTCTCTACTAAAAATACAAAAAAGTAGCTGGGCGTGGTGGTGGGTGCCTGTAGGCCCAGCTACTTGGGTGGCTGAGGCAGGAGAATGGTGTGAACCTGGGAGGCGGAGCTTGCAGTGAGCCGAGATGGTGCCACTGCACTCCAGCCTAGGCGACACACCGAGACTCTATCTCAAAAAAAAAGAATAAATGTTAGTAAATACTTGGAAATATATAAGGAAATAACATCTTATTCACTTAAGAATAGTATTTGGTCTGCAAAGAAAGAATGGAGTACAACTATTTTAATTACTGCCCACTCTTAGTCATATAACTGCATGCTTATAGAAACGCTTATGTGCTTAGCCATTTGTGAACATGTGTTTGCACTGCAGGTGAAAAGGTCATACTGAATTTCCAAAAGAGAATCACCCAGCTATCCTATCCAACCCTATCTCTACAGCTGGCTCTGCAACCTTGGCAAGTTACATAGCTTCCCAAGTTTAATGCCCATTGCTATCTGTAGAAAGTGAAAATATTGTTTAAGCTGACTACCTAAATAAAGTGTTCTCGTGTGGTCTCTAGAGAAAACAGCTAAAGCAGTATTTTGCTAAGTTTAAGGAATAGTAAGAATCAAATCAGACTTAGGCATTTACTTCATATAAACCATAGGGTTGGACTCAATTAATAAGGGGTACAAATATTGGGAATAGGAAACAATGAATCATCCTCTTATAAAAGAAAAGATTATAGGAGCAATAGTATTAAAAAAATAATGTGCCTGGTAAACTCAGTATTCCCAACCTAATTCTAAGGCCTGGCCAGTCAGAGGGGACCAAAGCAGTTGTTCATACCTTTCATCACCTTCTCAAGGGAACCCTCTCTGGCCTGCCACTCGAGTCACCCATGGTAATGGCAGACACATTCTTTTATGTTGCCCATAATGCCAGCAGAGGCTCAAGGAAATAGCAGCACCTTCTCTGTATGGACCCAGTCATGGTACATTCCAACTCTCACACCCATGTGAAGAAGAGATCACTAATATATAAGTGGCCATGACTAAAAATGCTATCCTATAAAAATTACAGACCTCATACCAAACTATACACACACTCATTGCTAAAATCATAAAACAAAGGCTGGTTTTTTTCTTAAAAAAGAAAAGGGACAAAACTCTGGGACATAAGAAAAGCAGGTCATTTATTTTCAGCCAAAAAAGGGAAATATCAAAAGAAAAAAGAAACTGATGACATAATTTTCCTCACAATATAAATTTTAGAACAGTGGTGTGCTTATCAGGATTAAGAATCATAGGCAATAAACTTTTTTAAAAAAGTCTGAATATGTTGAATAAACACTACTCAAATGAAAGGAAACTTGCCGGAGGAAGTCAGTTGTTTTAAATGGAATAATAGTAAAAAGTGTATATTGAGTCTACATTCATTTTAACCTCAACAAAGTGTCTTTTCTCTTCTTGCAACCCACCATTTTTTAGAGCAAGAAACTTCTTCTAGGAAGTCACTGCCTGTGCCGAGGACCCAGGATGTATCCGCCAAGCACACACAGTTCAAACACTCAGGCTTCATGAAAGTGTGTTGGTGTCTCAAATCAAGCCAAATCAACCTACTTTTACACACATATACTAAAGCTTAGGAACTGCCATCTCAAAGAAATGAATAATAACATCAACCAGATAAGTAAATGTGATTGGACAACCTTGTCATAGCCCAGGCTAAGAGGCCTCAAGAAAGCCTGTGTCTTTTATGGAAGCTGTTCCTAGACCACCTCTGGCCAATTTGCATCTGGCTTTTTTGACCACACTTGGACAGGATTCCTATTCTCCTCAACCTTTGGTAGAGGCATTCATTCTGTTGATTTCACACTTTGCCCCTGCCACTGCAGGATTACAACGAACAGGATTACAATTTTCTACAAAGTATGTACAAAGCAGGAATGTATGAGTCAGTGGCGCTAGATTCACAAGAATAGGAGAGACCTGGTACCTGTTAAAGCATGCTACAGCAGACAGGGAATAGGCAATGCCTGGACTAAGGCACAATGCCTAAGATTATGAACTTTTCATTGTGAAGTATTTTTAGCATAAAGAATTAATATAATAAACATCTGTGCACTCACCACCCTGACCTAACTTCTAAATCTGCAACAAATTTGCTCTAGATAGTCTCATGTTAATTTGTATAAACTCTTATTTTAAAATTTCCCAGTCTTGCCAGAGGTTGGTTTTACTAACATTTTCATGAGGCAAAATGTTGGCTCTGTCGATCCTCTTTACTGTAGCATTTCTTCTAATTTCATTTAATTTATCCTTTATCAACATTATTTCCTCGCTCCCACTTTGAGTTTGCCACATTACTCTTTCACTATTTTTATAAAATTCATTTTCAATTTTTTATTTCAAAATACACTTTTCAAGGCTATAATTTTTCCTTTAAATTTTGCTTTGGCTACATTACACGATTTTGTTGTCATTCATTTATAAATAGTTTATAGTTTCCATTATTTCATCTTTGACCCATAAGTTATTTAAAGACATGGATTTCCGCTGTTTCTAATTTGTGATGTTTATATTAATATGGTTTGTTTTACTTTCTTTGTGTTTTTATACTTGATCAATTTTTGTTAATGTTTTATACATCTTCAAAAAACTGAAGTTCCTACTTTTCAGCTACAAGGTTCAGATATGTCTAGTAGGTTAAGATTTTAATTGTATTACCCAAATATTCTGTATCCTTGTTATTTTTTTTCAACTACATATGAAATAATCATCTACTACTACTGTGGAGTTGTCAGTTTCTCCTTATAATTCTGCCAATGCTTGTTTCTGTATTTGGAGACTATACTCTTGGGTGACTGCACTCTCAATTGTTGTACACAGACTTCTTGGTAAGTATATCTTCTGGCAAAGTTATGACTTTCTTTAACTCTAATAAAGGTTTTCTCTTAAATTCAGTGTTACCTAGTGGTAATACTCCTGCAACACTTTTCTTTTGGATAGGATCTGCCTCACATATCTGGTGTTCCATTTCTTTTTACTGTTGTTATTAGTTTTTTATTTTCTAATATTAATTTTTATTGTACTGATTTTGCCATTTCTTTACTTTGAACTTTATTGTGTCATTATGTCTTGGGAGTGATTCATAAATAGTATTTTGTTGGATTTTCTAAAATCAAATTTGAAAATCTATGCTTTTTTAAAAATGTGAATTTAACCCATTTACATTCATTACAACTGATACATTCAGGCTTATTTTTATTCTCTTATTTTCTGTGTTCTGCTAATCATTCTCTTTCCTTCTCCTCTTTTTTCCTTACCTTCTAGTTAATTAAGTTTTCTTTATTCCCCTTTTACCCTTTATTCCCTTGGAAATAATACATTCTACTCCCTCTCTCCCTCCCTCCCTCCCCTCCCTTTATTATCTTGGAAATAATACGTTCTACATTGATTTCTCCCTCCCTTCCTTTCCTCCCTTTCCTCCCTTTCCTTCCCTTCCTTCCCTTCCTTTCTTCCCTCCCTCCCTCCCTCCCTCCCTCCATCCCTCCGTCCCTGTCCCTCCGTCCCTCCCTTCTCTCTTTCTTTTTTGTATTTTTTTTAGTAGAGACTGGGTTTAACCATGTTGCCAGGCTGGTCTCGAACTCCTGGGCTCAAGCGATTCACCCGCCTCGGCCTCCCAAAGTGCTGAGATTACAAGCATGAGCTACCATGTCTGGCCTCTACAATGATTTCTTTAGTAGTTCTCTCAAAGAAT